TCTGGCAGTTCTTTGTTGAAATATTGCTCCAATTGTTTTTGGATAATCTTCAGCAGAATCTTGCTTGCATGTGATATTGTCTGATAATTTCCACACTCTGTTGGGTCACCTTTCTTTAGAATGGGAACAAATATCAATCTTTTCCAATCAGTTGACCAACTGTCTTCCAGATTTATTTTTTTCTTTTCTTTTATCATTTAAGAAATTTTTATTGGCATGGAATACTGTAATTATGGATAAGCAAAATTTTACATCTTAAAGTCTCTTAATCATGTGTATCTGTGTACTAAACATACATAAATTTCACTTTATTTAAAACATATGAAAGAGGTAATTTCAAATCACATTAAACATAATACATATAGAGCTTGCTTTGTTAAAAATCTACAGTATACATTCAAGTAAGGGTCAAACTTCCAATGCCAACTATATGTGAAACAAAAATTAAACATTTACAATAATCAGTTTCCTAAAAGTGCTATTTTCAATACCTGTAAGAGGAAACTCATTCTAGTGCTTTTGTTTTCACCCAGATACCTATACATTTTTTTATTCACTGAACCAGATGCTTTTGTTACTAAAAAAAATACATATCCAAAGCTTTTATATCTTTTTAAATAGATTTAACATTTTAGCTCTTTGGGAGAGGATAGGCTAGTCCAAAAAAACCACTCATACCAACTTTCTTGAATTATTAGAGATGACTTTTTCATGACACACCCTGTTTCAGCTTAGATGTGAAAGTTTATGAATATATGAGAGAAGAAAATTCTGGACCATGTGTTTAAGGTTAATCATCTTTTTCCAAGTTAGAATTTGTGTAGGTCAAGGAGCATCCACCGTAGCAACTTTCCCGAGATCCAGGATGGGGATCCCGCGCTCCATGTCTCAGTTAGATATTCTCTTCTAACTTGATTTGGTTTAATTTCTTCAGGAGTTATATTCAGTGCATTTCTTGAATTATTTGTCACTTTGGTTCACTAAATAGACTTCACAATGTAGCAGTCCTATGTTCAAATACACAGGAACATGTCTGGAAAAAGTCTGAAGTTGAAGGAGAAGCAGGAAGAGATTTAGTAAGTTTAGATGTGCAAACTGAAGACCCGCGAGACACACTGTAAAGCTTCTTTTGTCATGGCCTTGAGTGTACTTTAAGATTGTCCTGATCAAAACTTCCTGAGAAGGCACTGAAAAGTTACACATTTTCTGAGTTCTGGTGGTCAAAGATAGGCATATTTAACAACTGCTGCTTTAACCGACTGGCTCGCTCTTCCTCAAATGCCTTTCTCTCCAACCCCAGGCGAATAGCAGCACCTGTAAAGCTTCGTCTTTCTCTCTCAAAATTCTTTTTCTGCTCTTTAAATAGAGACCACTCTTCTTTAAGGTGTTCCTTTTCCTCCAGTATTAACAATCTCATAGTAGAGAAGTGGTGTCATCATCACATGCAGTAGCAAGCTGCTGCTATAAAAGTTGCTGCTGAGTTTTAATTATTTCTCTTTACAGTGTTGAATTTCTACCTCGAGTTTTTCTGTTTCTTGTTCATGGTCTTGTCATGAAATTACATCTACGTCATTATAACCTTCTAAGTGTACCTTTGAAATTTGATTATCAAGTTTTTCTACATGACTTTTCAAAATTCTCCACTGTTTTCTGATGCTGTTTGTAAGCTGCTCTCTTAAAGTATCACAGGAAAGGTCCCATATACTGTTACAGATTCAGTTCCCCAGCATCTTCTTCAACATCAGAAATAACAGTTCCTGTACTATCATCAACTCTTCCTCTAGGTTTCTGCTTTTGGGGAAAAAGAAGAGTGATCATTTCCTTTTTCATTTGCTGAAGAACCTTCTTAAGTTCAGCATTTTCCATTAGGATTTGTTTCTGACGATCATTCAAGAGAATTTTATACATTTCATCTTCATTCCTGGCTTCAGTTTTACCCGTTCTCCAGGAGCCTCTCTTTCCAACAGCTCTTCCCACATAATTTAAAACATCCATAGCTATTTTTTTATTTTTTTGTTCATAACAAGTTGATGTAGACGTTCCTTTATTTATTATATTCATGTTCTTTTCTCTTTGTATCATGATTATACTGAGTAGCTCGACTTGCAATGATATTTTGTCATTTCTGTACCTCATCCTTCTCATTTTTAAGTAGCTGGTGCAAATTCCTGTTCTTGCATTGTAATTGTCTCTTTCCAGAAGTCCAATAATTTCTCTCCTGCAAGTTTCCAGTTGTTGCTTAAGCTTTGCATAGCAGCTTTGCAAATGGTCCATGTCACTTCCCAGTTTCAGATGCTGTGTTTCCACATTTTCCTGAGCTAGAAGGTTCTTCCATTGTAGTACAAGTAGTTCATTCATACAATTTAACACTGCACTATATTTAATTCTCTCTTTGCCTCTTTACCTTTGGATTCTTCATATAATGAAGGAAAACCGAAAGTAGTCAATTCCTGATGAAGGTAGGTGATACTCTGCTCAGTATTCTCTTCTGTGCAGAAGGCACTGAAATAACTGTATATTTTTTATAAAGGTATTGAAGAACTTAGCACTTAATGTAAGTATAAACTTGATAGAGACATCTTTATTTCTGAGGTATATTGAGATTTTTGCTTTCTGAAGACAGATCTGGATCTGTCACAGTCATCCAATCTCCCATAGCAATTGCCAGAGCCAGGATACCTGAAGAACTAGTTCAGCAGGGAAGCATTTAGTATTGGCTGCTGTCACTCTTCTATGTAGCCATTTCCTTCACAGCTCTCAGGAGCGGCTGAGAGTCACCACTCACTGTCCTACAGCGGCAGGCACCCACAGTCCCGCACAGCCACTTTGGGACGCAGTGCCTCCCGCCCAGATTTCTTGACACCACTTAGTGAGTATATCCAGGGCAGTGTCTGTTTGTTGAAACATGTCAGTTGGTATGCCATCAACTCCTGGAGCCTTGTTTTTTTGCCATTTCCTTCAGAGCAACTTGAACTTCCTCCTTCATCACCACAGGCTTTTGCTCATATGTTATTTCGTGAAATTCTTTTAACTCAGCCTATTCCTTCTGATACAGTGACTTTGTGTGCCACTTCCATCTTCTTTTAATGCATCCTGGATCATTTAACATTCTTCCCAAAGTACCCTTAAGTATTGCCACCCATGGCTATAACCCAAGTTAATAGAAAACATATTTCCATACAGGAACTTGTGAACAGCTATTCATACTAGCATTATTTATACTAAAAAGAAAAAGAAAACAGTCCAAATATCTTTGAACTGATGACTATAAATAAAGTATGTCTCTATCCATACACTAATACTATTTAATCATAGCAACAAATTGTTGATACATGATACAACATGGATGAACTTTGAAATATGCAAAGTGAAAGAAATCAGATACTAAAGGTCACGTATTATGTGTTTTTTTTTCCTTTGTGATTTGAGTGTAAGTTTACAGAGCGAATTGATTTTTCAGTCAAGCATGCAGACACCTTTTGTTTGACATTGATTATATTACTTACGTTGTAACTTCCCTCTTCCTCTTTCTGTTGCCGGATTCCCATTTTCATTTTAAACCTTATACTTTTTCAAGCCTTCTGCATTATCCATGGGTTTGATATTGTATGATTGATGGTTAAGTGAGTATCTCTCTGGTCATTATTGTTGTTCATGTGTTAGGCCTTTCTATTTGGATAAAAGTTGTGTCATTGGGTGAAGTTCACTTCTGGACTCAAAGAATGACCACTGGGCCCTAGTCTTGTGAATTCCACCAGTTTTTAATAGCATAATAAGCTTTCCTACATTTATGCTTTTTAATTGTGTTCTGCAGCGGTCCTCTGGACTTACTGTTTTATCTTTGCTTCTCTCCCACAATTCACAACCCCCACCCCAACTTACTTGTTCTGGACAGGAGAAGACCAGTAGTTCCACCTTAGATGAATGCTTGCAGGTTTTTAAGACCCCAATCAGTGCCAAACTAAGGTTGTTGTTCATTGTCTTTGTTGACCCCAGTTGACCTTAATGAGCCCTCTGACTGATCCTGAGGCTCCAGAACCAGCCCCTCATTCCCTCAGAATGTTTAGCTATGATTAGGAAGTTTTCATACACTGTAAAAATTATTTTCTTTTAAATGCCCCAAATAAATAAATCTATAGGAATAACTTCTAGATAAGTTATTATGAGGGCAGGTTAGGGAGTTTGAGTTATTGTTTAACAGGTGTAAATTTTTCTCAGGGACAAGAGTGGCTAAATTGTTGTGTGATTTGACAGTGCTGATTAATGTCCAACTTTGTGAGTGTATTAGAAGCTGCTGAAGAGTATACAATTAAAGGGTGAACATCAGTGTGAATTTTATCTTAATACATCTGTTGCTTTAAGTTAGCAAATTTTAAGTTAGGAAGTTGGTGCTGGAGGAGATTGATACGACAGCACACAAGAACTTTTTGAACATTCTTTATCTTGATTGAAGTTATTACTAGCTATATGTATAGACGTTTGTGTGTGTATACACACATACACACACATACACACATGTATTGACATCCAAATTCTTCAAACACTGCATTGTAAATGGATGGAATTACTGTATTTATATTATCTTTAATAGGTTAGTCTTAAGCAAAAATACCTTAGAAGATTAACATCAGTCTTGTTACCTGTGAATAGAGTTGATAATTTTTTAAATTTGAAAGTATGTTTATTATTCATTCTTATATCTAGTTTCTATACAACTTCTTAATAAAGTCTTTAATATCATATAAATGAGATTCATAGCTGAGCCTTGTGTTGTTTGTTATTAGGTGTTGCAAGTCAGTTACAACTCTTAGTTGAACCTGTCAACAATAGATCTGTGCCATCTTCACAATCTCTAATAATCTCTCTTTTTGAGGGTCTTCCTCTCTTCCTTTGACCTTCCACCTTTGCCAGCATGATGTCTTTTTCCAAGTACTGGTGCCTCCTGACAGTGTGCCCAATGTATGTGAGATGAAGTGACACCATCGGTGCCTCTAAGGAGCACCATGGTTGCACTTCCTCCAAGGCAGACTTGCTTATTCTTTTTGCAGTCCATGGGATTTTTAAGACTCTTTTCCACCGCCACAGCAAAGGCATCCATTCCTCTTTTGTCATCCTTATTCATTGTCACACTTTGAGTTCCATGGAAAGCAATTGAAAATGCCATGGCTTGGGCCAGATGCACCTTAGTCTTCTTTTTTTTAATTTAGTAATTTCAATGACCATTTACAGAGATTTTGGATTTCCATTCATTTATTGTTGCATGCACCTTAGTCTCTAAACTCAAATCCTGCGTGCATGGATTGGGACAACAGCGACCTGGGAGTCTCTATTTCTTAAACAGATTTTTGAACTAGGTCTTCTGTTTTCATTCACATTGAGAGATATACTTGGTGTCACCAGGTTCTGAGTCTTTCGGTCATTCAGCTTCATAAGTCAAGTAGCTCTACTTGATTTTCTCAGTGGTCAGCTTGGGTTTAATTTCTTGGGTCAGCCAAGTCAATTCCCACTGCCACCAGTGTTCTGAAATGCTCAGATTTGATTGCTCTTTTTTCTTGTTCCATTTGTCCTTATGGAGTTTGTTCACTTCCTTTCTTCTTCCCTTTTCTCTCACTCCTTTTATTCCTTAACCCTTTTTTGATTGTTTACATGACATCTCATGTAATCAGTGGTAATAGAATCTATGTAATTTTCCATCTTGCACCCTAGACTAGACTCGAGAATAGGTCTTGAGTTAGATTCTAAGTTTTAGAAGTTGTAATTTAGAGGGAAAGATTTTGTTGTTACCCAATAAGTAGGAATTTCCCTCATGAAATGAATGTTTAATGTTGAAATTAATCATTTTTTGTCTCTTAGGAATTGGCAACATTAAAGTCTCAGTTAAACTCACAGTCTGCGGAGATCATAAAACTACAGGCAGAAAAGCAGGAGCTGTTAGAAATAACAGAATCATCTGTAAGTTACTTATTTTGGGAAGGGAGGGGTACTCTTCTGAAAGGTAGCAAACACAAGGATATTAGAGTGTTTTTTTCCCAGCCACTAGGAAAGAGCAACAGATTTGTCAGATAGCATCATCTTTTCCATTTTACCTCCTAGTTCTGGTTGCGCAGGCTTCTTACTATGGCAGCAACTGTATAATATTACAGTCAGACCCATCAGGTCTGTTCGTTTAGTAACTTTAGAATTTCCTTTGGAAGCTGAAGAGGTCCTGGTAAAACCTTTGGATGATCTTAGTATTCAAAATCAATGTCCAAAAGAAGCTATATTGAGATTCTTTCATAGTTGAACACATTGACCAAAAATACTTCAAAGTCACGTCACTGCCATCCCCATGAGCTCCAACTTGGAATCTTGAATACTTGATAAAAGCAGAAGAATAAATGCAGCACAGATTTTTGGGGATATCATTTGTTTTGCCGTTATATACACCTGCATTTTTCTTTTTGTTGTAGAATTTTGATGGCATTTAAAGCAAGGGAAAGGGAAATAAGTTTTTTTATTTCTGTATTAAAATGCAAATTTTCCCAAGTATAGATCTGGCTTCTGTGGAGCTCTTTTCGTTAAATGGCATTGCATGCTTATAGTTACTGTTTATGCACATCCTAAGGAAAATATTTTTTTCTTTGATTTATTCATTCAACAAATTTGTCATGAGTACTTTCCTGTACAAGATACCATTCTAGGTGCTGCGACTCTATAACAATAACTAGATAAGTAGATATAAAGGCAATAAATAAGTTGTTGTTGTGTACCATAAAGTCAGAACCAACCCATAGCTGACCCCCGTCACACAGAAAGAGATTGCCCATCCTTCTCCCATGAAGCAGCTAGTGACCTCGATCTGCATGCCTTCAGGATTGCAGAGCAGTTTCTTGCAACTAGGCCACCAGAGCTCCCCGAGTATACGAGTAGACAAATATTTTCGTTTTAGGTAAAGACTTTGAAATGTGTCAGAATTACAAGTGGAAATAGGAAAGGCTCTGCTAGGGTATTTAGGAGATGACACTTGATATTTGAGAAGACTAACATAAAAAGAAAGCTAGCATTCTGTTTGTCTAAGCTTTCTGAGTTCTAATCATTAGAATGCATGATTAGTGTGGGAGCAGTCTTCAAAGTGACATACAAGACAGTACTTTGTGATGGGAAAGAACATAATAAGAGTTTCCAATTCTTTTTTTATTCAAACATTAGCAGTTTTTAAATGATACATATATATTTGCTTCTAAATAAATTAAAACTATATTGAATGCAATGGAATACTATGCAGCTTGCAGGAACAATGATTTTGTAAATTATTGCCTAACTCGGTAGGGTCTGAAGAGCATTATGCTGATTGAACTAACTCAGTCCCATAAGAATAAATATTGTATAAAACCGTTTTGGTTTTGTTTGTTTTTTTTTTCTTTTTCCTTTTTTTAGAAAGGTGGGAGAAGGTAGAAGCAGAGGGATGAGGATGTGCAGGGGCAGGAGGGGATTAATCATGGAGTGTACAATTTGATGGATTGGGGGAATGAGGGAAATGGAAAGAATCTGTTCTCTAAAACAATGTAGACTAGTGTAAAATTAAAAAAATATATATACCGGAAGCATACTGTTCTTTTTACCCATCAAATCATAGGGTCGCACAATATGATCGGTGGAGGGAGTGGTAGGGTAAGTAAAGAAAAGGGGAAAGATCGGTGTGAAAAACAATGTATATGAACTTTGTAGTAAACCAGTATAAAATAGAATAAAAAAATTAGAGGAAGACAAAACTATGTACTATGAATAACATTAACTGATGTATTTATAAAAATGGCTTCACTGGATTGAAAGTCAACATTTTTTCCTCTTTTATTTATGGTTCAGTAATAAAATTATTTTCAAGATGCATTAGTAATATTGGGTGACTGGAATACAAAAGTTGGGAGTAGAGAAGAATCAGCAGTTGGAAAACATAGACTTGGTGACAGAAATTAAGCCAGAGATAGAATGATAGAATTGTGCACAGCCAACGACTTATTTATTACAAGAAACATAAATGCAGGCCATACACATTAATTTCACCGAATGATATACATAGGAATCAGATCAATTACATCTGTGGAAACAATCTCTGGAGAAGCTCAATATCAGCTGTGAAAACTGGGCCAGGTGCTCATTGTGGAACAGACCACCAACTACTCATATGCAAGTTCAAGCTAAGGCTAAGGAAAATTAAATCAAATCCACAGAAACCAATCTGACCTTGAGTCTATCCCACCTGAATTTCAAAACGATCTCAGGAACAGGTTTGAGGCCTTACACATTAATGAGCAAAGACCAGATGAGTTGTGGGAGGATATCAAGAATATCATCAAGGAAGAATGCAAAAAGTCATTACAAAGAGGAGGAAGAAAAGACCAAGATGGATGTTAGAAAAAACTCTAAATATTGCACTGGAGTGCTGAGAAACCAGATCAAACGAAAGAAATCAAGATAGTAAGGAGTTGAACAGAACATTCCAGAGGGCAGCGAGGGAAAACAAAATAAGGATTACAGTGAAATATTTAAGGAGCTGAGTCAGAAAATCAAAAGGGCCAAACTTGCTCAGCATTTCCTAAGCTGAAGGAACTGAAGAACAAATTCAAACCTCGTATTGCAATACGTAAGGATGCTTTGGGCAGAATATTAAATGATACAGGAAGCATTAAAAAAAGATGGAAAGAGTATACAAAGTCATTGTACCAAAATGAATTGGTGGATACAGAAGAATTTCATGAAACAACATATAAGCAAGGGCCTGTGGTGATGAAGGAAGAAGTTCAAGCGCCTCTGAAAGGATTAGCAAAAAAAAAGGCCCAAGGAATTCATGGCATACCGATTGACATATTTCAACAAACAGATACTGCCCTGGATGTGCTCACTAGGTTGTGCCAAGAAATCTGGAGGACAACTACCTATTCAGCTGACTGGAGGAGATCTATATTTGTTCCCATTCCAAAGAAAGGTGACCCAAAAGAGTGTGGAAATTATGGAACAGTATCATTGATATCACATGCAAGCAAGATTCTGCTGAAGATCATCCAGAAATAACTGTAACAGAGAACTGCCATCAACAAAGAACTGCCAGAAATGCAGGCTGGATTTAGAAGCCGTGGCACTAGGGATATTATAGCTAATGGCAGATGCATCTTGGCTGAAAGCAGAGTACAAGAGTAATATCTGTATGTGTTTCATTGACGGTGCAGAGACATTTGACAGTGTTGATCTCAACAAACTGTGGCTGACTCTGAGAAGAATGGGAATCCCAGAACACTTGATTGTGCTTCTGTGAAACCTATACTTGCACCAGGAGGCGGTTGTCAGAACAGAGCAAGGAAACACTGCATGGTTTAAAACTAGGAAGGGTGTACACCAGGGATGTGCCCTATCTCCATATCTTTTCAATCTATATGTGGAACAGATTATCCAGGAGGCTGGACTCAGTGAGGAGAAGTGTGACATCAGGATTGGAGGTAGACTCAATAACAGTCTGCATTATGCTGATGACACAACCCAGCTTACTGAAACTGAGGAGAGCCTGAAGCGCTTGCTGTAGAAGGTCAAGGACTGCAGCCTTCAGTATGGATTGAAGCTCAACGTCAAGAAAACAAAGATTCTCACTACTGGGCCAGTTGGCAGCATCATGATAGATGGTGAAGAGATTGAGATTGTTGACAGTTTCATATTGCTTGGCTCTACAATAAACACTTGGTAGCAGCAGCCAGGAAATTAAAAGATGAATTGCATTGGGAATGTCTGCTGTCAGAGACCTCTCCAAAGTACTAGAGAGCTACAATGTCAGTCTGGAGACCAAGGTGAGCCTCTTCCAGGCCATGGTCTCAGATAGTTGGACAGTGACTAGGGATAATAGAAGGAGAGTTGATGTCTTTGAGCTGTGGTGCTAGAGAAGAGTATTGAATATACATGGACTGCTAGGAGGACAAAAAAGTTCCTCCTGGAGAGGGTGAAACCAGGCTGCTCCTTGGAGGCAAGGATTCTGAAGCTTCGTCTGACATACTTTGGACATGTTTCAAGGAGGGATCAGTGCTTGGAGAGAGACTTCATGCTTGGGAGGCTGGAGGGATAGCGCAGAGAAAGACCCTCGATAAGATGGATTGATTCAGTCACTGGGGTAATGGAAATAGGTGTGTCGGAGACAATAAGATTGGCAAGGGATAGAGCAAGAGTTAGGGCCATTGTACATAGGGTCATTATGATTTGCAGGGGACTCGACAGCACATAACAACAAATTTTTAAATAAAATGAGGATTGAAGGCATTGGAGTCTTCAGATTGTTAAGATTCAAAGAACAAGCCCTTAAAATTTTTTATTATAAATCTTTATAGATTATTTATTGGGTAAAAGCATATTAATGAAATAAGTTTTTTCCCTATTTTCAAGTAATGATAATTATATAATAGTGACTTTTCCCCTGTGTCAGGAGGCTCAGAACTTTGAGTGTTATTGTTGTTGTTATGTGCCTTCAAGTCAAGTATGACTAATAGAAATCTTACGAACAATACATCTGAACCCTGTCCTATCCTGCGCTATCCTTACCGTCTCTGAATTACTCAAGCCCATTGCGGCAGTAATTGTGTCAATACATCTTATTGAAGATATTTTCTTTTGACAATTCTCTGTCTTTCCAGTCATTCCACGGACTAGCCCCTCTTAAGCAAAGGAAAGGAAGTCCCCAACGAAATGGATTGACACAGTAACTTCCAGCATTGGGCTGTAGAGTGTCACAGATGATGAGGATGGCACAGATAGTACAGGATTAAGTTTGGCTGTTCTTAGGGTTAACTATGAATTGAACTCAAGTCTATGGCGCCTAATAGCAACAACATGCTCAGAATATGTGAGATGAAGCTTCATCATCTTTGCCTTATTTTTTGACAGTCCATTGGATATTTAGTACTTATTCCAACACCACAAGCCAAAGCATCACTTCTTCTGCTGTCGTTCTTATTTACTGTCCAGCATCTCAGATGCTTAGAAAGTAATTTGAAAGACTATGGCCTGAATCAGGCACACCTTATCTGACATCAGTGTCCCTCAATAATTTGGAGAGGTCCATGACAGAGAACTTTAACCATGCAGTACATCTCCTGATCTACTGGCTACTGGTACTAAGATTATGGACCCAAGTAAGTTAAAATTGTTGACAGTCTCAGTGTTTTCTCTATCATGAAGGTGTTTATCAGTCCAGTGGTGAAGAATTTTTTTTCTTTTTCAGGTCTTATAATAATCTTTTCTTAAATTGAGATTTTAATGAAAGTTTATAGAGACTTTGGATTTCCATTCATTCATTGGATTTTTGTTTTCTTGATGTTAAGGTTCAATTCTTATTGAGGGCTGTAGTCTTGGGTCCTCTGTAGCAAGCATTTCAAGTCCTTTCAGAGTCTTAGAAGAGACTGAAAATTGTACTAGAGCATTCAGAAGCTAAAATAAAAAGATACGGAAGTAAAACAGAAGATTTCTGAGGGCAACTTGTCAAAACAAAGCAAAGAATAATGGAATGTGCAAAAATGAGAATAATGGAATGTGCAAAAATGGAGTTGGACAATAAAAATAGAAGAACTCTCTTGAGAGCATTTGCAATCCTCAAATTGAAAGAACTGAAAACCAAATTTAGCCTCAAGTTTTAATATTGAAAGGTGCCATAGGCAATATCTTGAATGATCTAGGAAGCATCAAAAGAAGACTGAAAGAATATGCAGATTCACTGTACCAAAAAGAATTAATTTGTACTGAAAAATTTCTGGAAGTACTGTCTGATCAAAAGTCAATGATAATGAAGGAAGAAGTTCAAGCTGCATTAAACAAACTGGCAAAAAATAAGACCTCAGGAATAAATGGGCTACTAATTGACCTGTTTCAACTAAGAGATACAGCCCTGCACATGCTTGTTCACCGGTCTATGCCAGGAAATTTGGAGGACAGCTGTTTAGCCAACTCACTGGGAGAGATCTACATAGTTCCCATTCCCAAGAACGATGATCCAGCAGAATGTGGAAATTATCAAAAACCACTAATATCACATGCAAGCAAAATATTGCTAAAGATCATCCAGAAATGGCTAAAACAGTAAATTGACACAGAGCTGCTGGCTTTAGTCGAGGTAGGGGTACCATCGTTGCTGATGTCAGATGGACCTGAATGAAAGCAGAAAATACCAAAAGAATGTCTGTTTGTTTTTCTTGACTATGCAAAGGCATTTGACTTTGTGGATCATAACAAACTGGCTCACTTTGAGAAGGATAGGAATCCCAAAACAGTTATTCTCAGACAAAAAAGTGTTCCTAGACCAAGAAGTTGTTGTTCAAACAGATCAAGGGAACACTCCACGGTTTAAAATCAGGGATGGTGTGTGTCAGGTTTATATCCTTTCTCTTTGTCTATTAAATCTGTATGTTGAGGACATCATTTGAGAAACTGGACTCTAAGAAGAGTGTGACATCAGGATAGATGGAAGACTCATCAACAACCTGCATTATACAGATGACAGTCCTTGCTTACAGAAAGTGAGGAGGACTTGAAATGCCTAATGAAAGAAATCTGAAAGGGAGCTCTGGTGGCCTAGTGGCAAGAGGTTGTACTGCAATCTGAGAGGTACGCAGTTCAAATCCACCAGATGCTCTGCTGGAGACGGAGGGGCAGTCTCCTGTGCCAGTCAGATCCGATTTGACGGTACACACACACACACACACACACACACACACACACACTAATCATCATCATCATCACAAAATAAATCTGAACAACCTAAATTTAAAAAAAAATAAATCTGAATGGCAGAATGAAGATCTGCATGTTCAGTAATAATAATTATGAATGCATCTCACTCCAAGGCAATTTTCTTTAAATTTTAATAACCTTTTTTTAAAAAAAAATTAATAACCTTTTGTATATGCATCACATTGTAAGCAGTTTCTAATCCATTTTGGAAATAAGTGAGATATGAAACTCCTTTATCCCTGTGCTGTGTTTAGTCCATGAGCCTAAGTCATAGCTATCTGGCTATTTTCTTCTCTACTAGTGTATTTACAAAATTCGAATACAAATTGGAACAAATTCTTTCAATTTCCCCTACCCCACCACCCACCAAATTGTACAACCCAATGATTAATCCCCCTTTCTCCTGCACATCCACATCCCTCTGCTTCCAGCCTCTCCCACCCCTCCTGGATCCTTATACTCATTCTACAATAATAGTTTTATACAATGTTTATCTTTATGGGACTGAGTTAGTTTACTCAGCATAATGCTCTCCAGTCCCTCCCAAGTTAGGTAATAATTTACAAAATTATTGCTCCTGCGTGCTGTGGAGTATTCCATTGTATCTATCTAACCCTTTAAATCTTTTCCATTTTCAGTTGGAGTGAGCTCCTTGCACTGATTTGAAAGTTGTATTTACACTGTGGTCCCACTAACCATGCAGAAAAAAGATGAGAAAAGATTGAAAACATGATTAAATAGTATCTACCCCTCGCACTCTGGTTGTCTAATAGGTAAAGAGTTGTGCTATCAACACAAAGGCAAGTAGGCAGTTTGAATCTACCAACTGCCTCGAGGTAGAAGTGTGGGGAGTCTCCTCCTCTGCAGTTCTTAGTCTCTGAAAATCCACTGTGGAAGGTCAGCTGTGTGTCAGCTCCGACTTCACAGAAACGAAATGAGTTTTTTAGTTAGAAAATCCTTTTGAGTTAAGAAAATGCTTATCTTTGACCAGTTAAAAGTATTAAGCTGAATTCCCTGACTTGTCTGTCTGACGTGATGAAATGAGTTTAATTGGCAAGTGTTTTGCAAGAAAAAGACTCTGAAAAATATTCTCTGCTCATTAAATGCCATATAAGAGCTAGGTTAGAGCTGCCTCATTGATACCTTCCTAATCTAGTCTTCTTCACAATCAGATGGGATTTGATGCCTCTCTTCCCGACTTGACTAGCAACTCTGGTGGTTTAGTTAGTGGTAACGAATTGCGCTGCCAACACAGAAGTATGTGGTTTAAATCTACCAGCTACCCCAGAGTTAAAAGATGGGCATTCTCCTGTACAGTTTTCTGCTTCTGAAATCCTACTGGAGAGTCAGCTGGGGTCAGTTCCAACTCGATGATATGTACTAACAACACAACTATCCTGACTAGGCCTCCTACTCCACAGTGACAGCAGCTCATCTTTTAGAAGAGCACTTTTGGCATGTAAATACATCAAGAGTTCTGTTTTCCAATATGTTTTTAATTGAAAAAATTTTAATAGACTTTTTGTTTTGTTTTGGTTCTCTGTTATGAATGTGTGCTTCAGGTCAAATCAATTCCTGTATCGGGAGAGAGTCAAACAGTCGCCGCTGCAAAAACCACTGATGTAGAAGGTAGACTGTCAGCATTATTGCAGGAGACGAAAGAATTGAAGGTTAGTTTTTGATGAATCTTACTTATTATATATTTTATCAGGTGAACTTCTGGAAATTTATTTTATTGCATTTAAGCTTTCAGATCCTTAAATTGGTGAAGAAAGTTTAATAGGGTTTAATTTTACCTTCCACCATTTGCCTCCTCATTTTGATGCTGACACAAAAAAAGATTTCTTAGGCCATTTTAATACTAGTTCCAAGTGCATAAAATAAGAAAGTATGTTAGTGTACTTTGAAAGTAAAGATAATAGAAAATTATTTACATTTTCTTAAGAACATCAATATCTAATCACAGTTAGAAAACAAGATCAGATCAAGGCACTACATAAGTCACAGGTGGGTTTTCCAGAAGGCTAAGTAACATAGGCACTTTTCATTCCTGGAAATCTCTTGTGAAAGAAAATAAAGAAAGGAGTGGGATAAATTAATAAAAGTAAAAGATGTGAAAGAAAAAATGGAAAAGAGACGATAATGTATAACTGTGCTTTCTGAATTGTAATCAGATTGTTTAATTTAAAAGATGTAGATTTTACTTGGAGACATTGCTTTTTCTAGTTTAATTTTATGTATGAAGATCAGTTTGGTGGGGTTTTTTTTACCTTGGTTTAGATTTCTTAACCTGAGGCCAAGTCTTGCTGTTAGATGTATATGTCTGTATTTACTCCTCTTGTTATCTGAAATGTATTTCTCTTTCAGCTTTTAGGACTTTTGGAGGAATACCCATCCTAAACAATTTCCTATATTAAACTATTTTCCATAATCATTTCCTTTGATAGTTCCTCTAAAATAAATTCCCAGCTACTGAGTGTGGGTGTAAGTATGTTTGTTTAGTCACTTTTATCTTTTTTCCCCCTTAGAATGAAATTAAAGCTCTGTCTGAGGAAAGAACTACTATAAAAGACCAGCTGGATTCTTCTAACAATACCATTGCCATTTTACAAAATGAGAAAAACAAACTCGAGGTGGAAATCACAGATTCCAAAAAAGAGCAAGATGATCTCTTGGTGCTGTTGGCAGATCAAGATCAGAAAATACTTTCACTGAAGAACAAACTCAAGGAATTTGGTCATTCAGTAAGAAATACTTCTGAGAAAAATTTATATTAATGTTGTATTATGATGCTTTTTTTAAAAAAAAATTTAGGTTATTTATTTTTCATTTCAGTGAACAACTACAGAGATTTTGGAATTCCATTCATTCATTGTTGCACCCTTCTCCCCGCACAAACCCCTCCCCCCCCTTTTGCTCCTCTCCTTGAAAAGCAAAAGAAAAACTCCCTCATTTTTTGTTTGGGGTTTTGGGGGCTTTTTTTAGTGTAAAATGAAAAGATAGTGCCTGTGCCATGGTGTTGTCGTTAGATCCTGACAAGTCCACTATGACTCATGTTGTTGTTGTTGTTAGGGGCTGTCAAGTAGAATATGACTTATAGCAACCCTGTGAACCGCAGATCTGAACTCTGTCCTAGCCTGTTCCATCCCTGAAACAGTTGTGCCCATTGCCACAGTCACCATGTCAGTCCATTTTGTTGAGGATCTTCCTCTCTTTCACTGACCCTCCACCTTTCCCAGCATGATTATCTTTTGTAAGTACTGGCCACCTCTAACAGCATACACAAATTATGTGAGGTGACGTTTAAGGAGCACAGTGGTAGCACTTATTCCAAGACAAACTTATTTGTCCTTTTTATAATCTATGAGATGTTTATTACTCTTCTGCAACACCACAGTTCAAAGACATCTATTCTTTTTCTGTCATCTTTATTCTTTGTCAAACTTTAAGATACATTGGAAGCAAGAGAAAAAAAATACCATGGCTTAGGTACACCTTAACCTTTAAACTTATATTCTTATTCTTTAGCATTTTAGATAGGTCCTTGACAGTAGATTTCCCCAATGCAACACATCTTTTCATTTCTTGACTACTATTACCATCATTATTGATTTTGGATCTGAATAAAATGGAGTAGTTGACAACTTGAATCTTTCTCTATCATGATATTAGTAACTGACTGGAAGAAATCCATATTTGTTTTCATTCCAAAAAAGTTTGATCCAATATAATGTGGAAATTATGTAATACTATCATTAATATCACATGCAAGTAAAATCTTTTTTTTTAATTAACTTTTTCATGAAAGTTTATAAAGAACTTAGGTTTCTGTTCATTCACTGTTGCACATTTTCCTCCATGCCCACCTCCCCCATCAGTTCACTTTTTTCCTTGGGGGAAAAAAAGTTCTTTCATTGTTTTATAGTCCCCCACCACCACCACTTTACTATGCTACTCTTATTCTGGACTGTTGTCATACGAATAATACCTAATCATATATTCCTTTTATATAGTTCGCTCCCTCATCTGTTTCAATGCTGTGTGCATTATCTATCCCCATTTTCCTTAATTTCCCCCTAACTCCACTGTCAGTCCTGTTTAATAACAGTGGCATTGTATAGTATTTGTCTTTTTGTGATTGAGATATTTCATTCAGCATTATGTCCTCTGTGGTCACCCATTTTGTATTATTTCATGAGTTCTTTGTTTTTTAGTGCTGCATAATATGCCATTATGTGACTCTACCACAGCTTCTCTATCCATTCGTTTGTTGATGGGCACTTGGGTTGTTTCCAACTCTTTGTTATTATGAACAAAGCAGCAATAAACATGGGTGTGCATGTTTCTGCTTGGGTGGCAGTTCTGGTTTCTTTAGGGTATATTCCCAGTAATGGAATTTCTGGATCAAATGGGATTTCTATTTCCAACTTTTTGAGAAAGTACTGTACTGCTTTCCATTGTGGTTGTACCATTTTACACTCTCACCAACAGTAAATAAGGGTTCCAGTTTTTCCACAACCTTGCCGGCGTTTGTTGTTTGCCGCTTTGTTGAATTTTGCTATTTTTACTGGGGTAAGATGATATCTCATAGTTGTTTTGGCAAGTAAAATCTTATTGAGCCCTATTTAAAAACAACTGGAACGAACGTTGAGAAAGAGTGCCAGAAATTCAAGCTGAATTCAGAAGAGGCCATGGAATGAAGGATTAAATTGCTGATGCTAGGTGGTGTCTTGGCTAAAAGCAGAGAATACCAAGAAGATATGTTTACATGTGTTTTATTGACAGTGCAAAAGCATTTGATCATGTATGTGTATCATAACAAATTATGGCTGACATTGAGAAAAATGGGAATCCCTGAACACTTAATTGTTTTCATTTGAAAACTCATGAGAATATATACACCAAGAAGCACTTTTCTTTCAGAAAAAAGTACTTTAAAATCAAGAAAGGTGTGTGTCAGGGCTGTATCTTTTTGCCGTACCTATTCAGTCTGTGCTGAGCATATCCTTCAAGAAGCTGACTCTATGAAGAAGGATGTGTCATCATGTCATCAGTGTTGGAGAAAGGCTCGTGAACAACCTGCATTATGCAGATACCATCTTTGTTTGTAGAAAATGAAGAGAACTTGTAACACTTGCTGCAGAACATAAAAAGCTACAGCTTTTCATATAGATTACATCTCAACATCAAGAAAACAAAAATCCGCACCACTGGTTCAATAAGGCAGTATCAGATAGATTAAAAAAATATTAAAGTTGTCAATAATTTTTCACCTGTACAACATCTTCCTTTATCTACTCTTTTGCTTTCCACGGTTTCAGTTACCTGTGACAAATCAAGGTCTGACTAAAGTTTAAATTGTGCATTGCTTAGAATATCATGAACCAGTTTCCTGCTATCCTGCTCCATCTCATTCCTCCTCTTCTGCTTGACATGAGCTTGGAAAACACAGTTGAATGAGTGACTGTGCCACACCCTGCCCCCTACCGGCATCTAAACTATTCAAGCCACTGTCCCAGGGAACACTGGTTACCTGTCATATGTGTACAGGAAAATCCTATTGTAGGTGTATCAGAAAACCCCCCCAAATACGTATACAATAGGATCTTGGGGGTCTTTTAACATATCTCCAGTATATACGGGTGGTTGTTGTTGTTATGTGCCATTGAGTCA